TCCACGTGGGGACACTGAGACAAGGACACAGGCTTACTACATATGGCTAGCAGCACCCACACAGAGATCCAGGGGGTCAGAAGGCTCAGGCTTCACCTAGCTGCGTGACCCAGGGCAAATGACTTCCCCGAGCTCTGGACCTCAGCTTCCTCATCTGTCAAATGGGATGTGGAAGAGAGTGGTCCAAAGAGATCTTTTCCTCCATCATCTCATCTAATCTGAATGGGAGTGAGCTGTGCTGAGTCCTGCCCACAGAGGCCAGCACCATGGCCAAGGGCAGACCTCTGCCATCAGACAGAGCTGTGTCCAGCTGAGCAACTTTGGAACTTCCACCCCCTGGAGCCTCAGAGTCCGCATCTGCAAACTAGGACGCCGAGAGTAGCTCCCTCTCAGAGTTTGCGTGTGGATTTGGTGAGATTGAGTGCAAATGGGGATGCCAGGGCACCACCCCTGAGTTGCAGTGAGAAGGGGCCAGTCCTACCTTGCAACTGCTGCAAAAGCAAAGCTCTCTGTAGCACCGAGCCGTTGAGGAGGGAGGCAGAGTTGGCACCTTGGAGATTCAGAAGCTGTTGCTGTGGCTGCTGCTGGGGAAGCCCCCTGTGTGTTGGGAGGGGGTGTCAGAGGACTTTGCGAGAGTCAGACCCTCCCTCTTCCCTCACCTCCACTCTCTGCCCCTCTCTACCGCAGACAGAGGAACCTCGTAAGGTGGGAACTGATGGTTTCCAGGACCGAAACAGGGATGTCCCTGGGAGAAAGGGCTGGGATGGAGTCTCCACGACAGGGGTCTGAGTGGCAGGGCTGAAGCCGCCCACCCCTCCAGAGGGGAACTCACCGGCTGACGGCCATGGGCAGTGGGGCTTGCGGCGGGGACTGCTGGAGCAGCTGCAGGAGTTGCTGCTGCTGGAGCTGCTGGAGCTGCTGCTGCTGGTTGAACATGGTGGCTGAAGAAAGGACACGGAGTAAGGCAGGACCCCTGCGTCCGCGCCTATCCGCGCCTGCCCGTGGCCCTCAAACACCTGCCCCGCTGAGCTTCACGGCCACACTCCAGTCCTGCCAAAAGCATGCCGCATTTGAACCCCCATGCTTTCAATAAACCCCCCCTCCCGCCACTTTCCCGCAAATCCTGTCAACAGCTCCTCCCTCAAACGCCCAACCCCGCCCGCCATCTCCCCCACTCCCATGGCTCGGTCCTTCCAGGGGCGTCCGACGCAAATGCAGCTTCCCCGCCCCTAGCCTTTCTCGCGTCGTCACGCCCCGATGCCAGCCCCTCTCCACACCCCCACCCCTCCCTCGTGCCCCTTTTGTCAATAACAGCACCCCCCAACCTTTCGCTTTGGCCTCTGAACAAGGTGGGAGGTTGGCTTCCCTCCCCCACTCCGCTAAGCCCTTCCTCTGCAGATCCAGCCAGCATTACACATCAAATCCGGCCACCCCACCTGCCCGCGACGCCCGCAGCCTCCATGCAAGTGGCCCCTAAGCCTTGCGTGCGTCCCCCAGTCGCGCTCGGCCCGCGCACTTCGCTTCGCCGAGCCCCCGCCGCAATCGCCCCGCCCCCACTGGCAGAGCCGACTGGGCCGCTGGAACTCGCGGCTCCGCCCGGGCCTGGCCGCTTGAAAGGCTGGTCTGCGGGCCTGGCCGCCGCAGCGCCCTCTGGAGGACCGGAGGACCCGGTGCCGCTAGCCGCGCCGCGAGGTCCTGTCCCGCGCTCAGGTCTCGCTGCTTGGACCCAGCCCGCTTCCCCGGCGCCTCGGCTGCGGCCGGCGCGGCTGGGGGCTGCGAGGGGGCCCGAGGCGGCGCAGGCCTTCCGCCCCGCGTCCTCCGCCCCGGGAACCGGCGGCTCCGAGCTCGAGGTCCGTATGTCTCCCGGAGGGGTCTGTCGTCTGGCGGGGACATCGCGGGCGACTTCGAGAAGGACCGTCCCCAACCGACCTCCCCGCGGCCGCCACTGTCCCGCGATCCAGGGGCCCCGCGCGGGGCTGGGGTGGGAGGGGCCGTGCAGCGGGCCGCGGCACATTCGGGGACCGAGACCCGGCGAGAGGGTGACAGGCACAGCGAACAGAAGGTCCGTCTCAAGGTGTTGCTTCGATTTGACTCAGGACGGGGTGAGGAGGGCTGAGTTCAATTATGAAAAACGGCGCTCATCCTGAGCCTGAAATTGTCCTGCCCGCGACGACTCGGTCCCTCATCCCGGCGCCCCTCTCCTTGGTCCCCACATGGAGTCACTGAGCCAAACAACCCGTGGGTACTCAGTAGCGATCCCTTTTCCTTTTTCTGTTACCTAAAGCGGTGCCTAAAGGTAACAACCCGGGGCAATCGGCTTCTTTTGCAGGAAGCGCCGATTGTGCGCGGGGCACGGCGCACGGTGGCGCTAGAGGCGCGCAGATTGGAGGCGGGCCCCGCGCGCTCGGCCGCGGAGGCTCGAGGGAGTCAACCAATCCCTGCAGTCGTGTGACAAGCGCTGCCCTAAGGCTCTGGACCCGCTCCGCTGCAGCCCCGGGCGGCCGCACCGGTGCCTAATTCCGCCTGGATTTAGAGGCGCGAAAGTGGCTCCGCGTGGCCACAGCGCGAAGCAGGGGCAGGAGCCAGTAGGACGTCGCGCCCTTGGGTGGAAGGGCAACCCGGACCGTGGGAGCTTTGAAGGCCTGGCCTTGGGCATAATTTATACTGAAGAGCAGGGAGCGCTAGGGAAGGGTATGACAGCGTCACATCCGCCGCCCGGATTAGAAGACTCACTTGGTGAGAACCAAGACGGAGCCAATGGGGAGGGAGAGAAGGGGCCGAGTCAAGATCGCTTAGGCTTCCTTCCAACCAGGTCCAAGCACGCTGACACCCTGGTCTGGGTGCTAGCAGAAGTTGGAGAAGTTGACTCCGGGCTCCACAACCTTCTGGCTAGGCGACTCGAGCCCCCAGGGGAGTCCTCTCCGAGCCGGTTCTTCGTCTATAAAATGGGTGTTCCCTCCCAGGGTGGGTGTGAGGATAATATTACGTAATGCTTAGCGCTAGCACTTGGCACAGAGTGAGCTTAGCAAATTGCTAAAGTAAAAACAAACAAGAAAACTAAAAATAAGGCTCATGCTGGTGATTCTGTGTTGATTCATCTTTCTGAAAAGCAATCTGCAAATTCTTTATCAAGATTCTTGAGCGGGGGGGCGCCTGGGTGGTTCAGTTGGTTAAGCGCCTGCCTTCGGCTCAGGTCATGATCCTGCAGTCCCATAATCGAGTCCCACATCGGGCTCCCTGCTCGGCAGGGAGTCTGCTTCTCCCTCTGACCCTCCCCCCTCTCGTGCTCTCTCTCCTTCATTCTCTCTCTCTCTCAAATAAATAAAATCTTTTTTTTAAAGGTTTATTTATTCATTCGAGACACAGAGATACAGAGAGAGAGAATATGAGCAGGGGGAGAAGCAGAGGGAGGGGGAGAAGCAGGCTTCCCGCTGAGCAGGGAGCACGATGCGGGGCTCGATCCCAGGACCCTGGGATCATGACCTGAGCCGAAGGCAGACTTTTAACCATCTGAGCCACTGAAGCGCCCCTCAAATAAATA